GGGCAGATGAAGTGAAGAACTAGGGGTTTGGGGGAGGAAGAAAATTATGCAACAATGAATGAAATTTTTTTTAAGGTTTTCAGAGGCAGTAAATTGCATAGGAGAATGGGCCTCCACAAGAAAAAGACTGATAGCATAATTACAAAATTGACAAAAGATATGGAAAGACTTTTCACAGAGGAAGACCAAGAGACACATGAAGAAATTCTCAAAATCAATGGCAATAAGAGAGACGCAAATCAAAACCACAATGAGATACCATCTCACCCCAGTAGCAGTAGCAAAGTTTCACAGGACAGCAAGTAATGAACATTCGAGAGAATGTGGAGAGATACATTGTTGGTGGGATTGTAAAATAGTATAACCACTCTGGAAAGCAGTTTTGTGCTTCCTCACAAAGCTGAATATAGAAATTCCATATGACCCAGTTATTCCACTGCTTGGAATATACCCCAAGAAAATGAGTACTTGTACACCAAGATTCATAGCAGCATTATTTATCATAGCAAGAACATAGAAACAGCCCAAATATCCAACCAGAATCAAATGTATTAAGAAATTACAGTACATTCACACGATGGAAAACTACACAGTACTCAGGAGCAAGGATTTTGTTAATTACTTCCTACCTTGGGAGGAACTGGAGTGCATGATGCTGAGTGAACTAACTCACTCACTAAGGACAAATACTATATAAGACCATTATTGTAGAACGTGTAGGAGGATCCAAGGGGGGAGGGTGGTAGGAGCAGAGGGAGAGGAAGGGCAGGGAGAAGAGTTAATCACAGGGTCACACACGTTGATGGGTAGGGGGAGGGGTGGTAAAGGAAACGGGAAAGATGCAGTGTGAAAAACAGTGTATACAAACTATGTAAGTAAACCAGTATAAAATAAAAAAATTATTTAAAAAATAATAATAAAGTTAAGGAAATAATTTTAAAATTCAGTTCAGAAAGCCACTGTTATAAAAACAGTATGGTTACAGGGAGGGAGGGTTTACGGTGAGAGGAGAAAAAGAACGACAGATAATGAACACCATACTGGAACAAGTAAAGGGAAGGTCAATCTGAAATGAATGGACAATTAATATAATATATACTCAGACATTATATGCATTACAATTAACAATCTGGAACAGGACATATATCATCATTTGAATGGGGTGGAGAAAGAAAATGTGTATTTAAAAAAATGTGCCCTTCCCCCGCCACCCTTGACTGCTCAGTGCTGACTTCCCTCTTCTTGGCCTCCGCTGCCGCCTAGCCGACATCATGGGCTTCAGAGACCTCAAGACCGCCGCTGGCCTCCAGGTCCTCAACGATTATCTGACCAACAAGAGCTACATCGAGGGGGTATGTGCAAGCAGATGTGGCAGTGTTTGAAGCCATCTCCAGCCCCCCATCTGACAACCTGTGTCATGCCCTACGTTGATATAATCACATCAAGTCTTACGAGAAGGAAAAGGCCAGCCTTCCAGGAGTGAAGAAAGCATTGGGCAAGTGTGGCCCTGCTGATGTGGAGGACACCAAAAGAAGCGGAGCTGCACACAGTGAAGATGACGATGACATGGATCTCTTTGGATCGATCTGAGGAGGAGGAAAGTGAGGAGGCAAAGAAACTTAGAGAAGAACGTCTTGCACAGTATGAATCAAAGAAAGCCCAAAAACCTGCACTTGCTGCCAAGTCCTCAATCTTACTAGACGTGAAGCCTTGGGATGACGAAACTGACATGGCAAAACTGGAAGAGTGTGTCAGAAGTATTCAGGCAGACGGCCTGGTCTTCCAAGCTAATACCAGCGGGATCTGGAATTAAGAAGCTTCAGATACAGTGTGTAGCTGAAGACGATAAAGTTGGCACAGACATGCTGGAAGAACAGATAACTGTTTTTGAAGACTATGTGCAGTCCATGGACGTGGCTGCTTTCAACAAAATCTAAAGCCCATCTGCATCCAACAATAAAATCTTTAAAAAACAAACAAACAAAAAAATGTGAACTGGGGAGGGTAGGGAGGAAAATGTACAAAAAATGAATGAATGAACTTTTCTGTAAACTTTAATTAAAATCACAGTAAAAAATAAAATATTTAGTGACATGATAAAACACTCATTATTTTTAATAAAGAATAATAATATAAAACTGGATATGCCCAACATTGACTATGCAAAGGCATTAGACTGAATGGATTATAAAAAATAATGAGTAACAATTGGAAAGAATGAAAATAGACCAAGTATTTGTCCAAACAGAACAAGGGAGCACCACATAATTTAAAATCAGGAAAGGTGTGCATCAGGGTCATAGTCTTTTTTTTTCTTTCTTTTTTTTTTTTTATCTATTCAACCTATATCCTGAGCAAATCATTCAAGAAGCTAGACTATATGAAAAAGAATAGATTGGAGAAAGATTCATCAACAACCTTCTCTTATGCAGGGGATACAATCTTACTTGCAGAAAGTGAAGGCTTGAAGCTCTTACAATAGAGAAGCTCTAAGCCTTGTCTTCAATATGGATTACATCTCAAGAGCAAGAAAACAAAAATCTTCACATCTGAATCAACATGTAACATCATTATAAATGGAGAAAAGATTTATGTTGTCAAAGACTTACTTGAACCCCCTATCAACACTCACAGCAATAGCAGTCAAGAATTCAAAAACAGCAACGAGAAAATCTGCTGTCAAGAATCTCCTTTTAAAGACATTCTTGCTTGAGGGCAAGGATGTCAGTGCAAAGATTAAGGTACACCTGACCCAGCCACAGTGTTTTCAATTGCTTCATCTGAATGTGAAAGTTGACAACAAATAAGGAATACAGAAAAACTGATGCCTTTGAATTGTGGTCTTGGCAAAGAATATTCAATATTCTGTGACAGTCATAAGAATAAACAAATCTGGAGGAAGTGTAACAATAGTGCTCGTTGGAGGCAAGGATGAAGAAGCTCTGTCACACATACTTTGAGCATGTTGTCAAGAGGCTCTACTCTTGGAAACAAAACATCATGTTTGGAAAAGTGGAGGGTAGGTAAAAGACAGAAAGGCCCTCACCGAGGTGGACTGACAAAATGACTGCAACGTTGGGCCTGTGCATGATGGAGATTGTGAGAACGGCACAGAATAGGGCAAGACTCTGATCTGTTGTTCACAGGGTATGCATTGTTCTCAATTAGACAGCACCTAATTACAACAATAGCATGTGGCCAACACTTTTAAAATCAGGAACGTGTTCTATACCTATACTGGACATACAGACATTTGTGGAAACGTGTATTTATATTTAGAGCTCCGAGTCAGAATCTAAATTTTCACTTGGGGATCTTGTTAAAAATATAGATCCTGATACAGTTGTATCTGGGATGGAAAGGTAAATTCCCAGCAGGAGATAAGACCATCATGAACTGGCTTAGAGCTCTGTTCGTGTGTGGATTACCATTGCCTTCTCTATTGGTGAGCTCCCTATCTAAGGAGTCAACCACTCAGGGATGGAAAATATTTGGGGGGGCAGGGGGGGCAGGGTCCTTTAAATCAATTAAGTGATCAAAGCCATCCATCAGTGGCCAAGAGGGAACAGAAAGTGCTATTTATATAGCTCTAATATTATATTAAGCATTAAAAGTAAACTAGAGAGGACTAAAAGTATACAGGAGGATATATATATATATATATGTTATATGCAAACACTATGCCATTTGGCATAAGGGGCTTGAGCGCTATCAGATTTTTAAATCCAAGGGAGTCCTAGAATATGAAGAGACAACTGTTCCGGGAAAAAAATACAAGATGTCAACAACAGTTCTCCTTGAGTGGTGAAGTTATAACTCATTTTAACTCTCTTTTTCATTTTTACATTTTTTGTGTGTTTTCTCAATTTTTTCTTTAAAATATCTTTTTGAAAACCTCAAGAAGAATCATTTAAAAATCTATATTCCCCATATCTGACCAATGAAGCATCTCTCTACCCAATTCTTGAGGATAAGTTTCCTTTTCCTAATAATGTCCATCGGCAGTTGGATGAATGAAGCCTGTTCCTTGTCTACCTTCATTCCACTCTACTCCACCAGGATGCACGACCTTGACCTTGAAACACTGTGACAATGGCTTCTTGGTCCTGGAAGCTTCCCATATCTACTGTGCTTCTCCACACCTAACATTGCTCTCCACATCCCCATGCCTCTCCACAGCCACTGGGTCTCTCCACAACTGCTGTGCCTCTCCACATCCACCATGCCTCTTCCACAACAAGGCCTGACAAATGTGTGTGCCAAACCACCACATGAATCATCAGGAACCTGAATGGTAAACACACTCCCTGGAATGTCCAAGCAATTATATCCAAATGTAATTAAAGAGAATAACTATTAAATACACCAAGTTAGTGACACACACCAGCCAAACAGTAGAACAAGGGCTTCTTGGAATGATTTCCTGATTTGACAGGAGCACGCATCACAAGGTCTATGTGACTGAAAAATGCATGACCCTTTTAGAACAAATGAAGAAACAACAGCACACCGTTCACCCCAATGACTAAGGAGTGCTCCTCTCTGAGTACCTGGGGAAAGCCCCTTCTCTTTATAGCTCTGAGCCTAGCACAGCTCCCTTACTTTGAAAAAGCTGCCATTGCCCCTTCAGCTGGACTCTTACACCTGCCTGTTGGGTCAACGGTCTGCTGACCTGAAGGGAAATGCTCCTTTCACAGTGTTGTCTGCCTGCCTCACTGCAAAGCTTACTCAAGTTCCCAGCCTGGGCAGAAGTGGCAGCACTGCCCCAGCATGCAAAGCCCTGAGATCACATCACTTCTAGTTAAACACATTAAACCACTACCTCCATTACAGCCATGTTCTCCTGGGCAAAGGCTTCACTATCAGTTAAGGGGGGAAAAAGAGATCCATTGCATCTCTGTAAAATCAGTGACCTGAAAAGGCAAATAAACCCAGGCCCTGGAAGCCTCAGAAAGAACAAGTAAAGACCAGCTGGAGAATGGAGTGGAAGGTACGCTTACATTGGTGTGAAAGCAGGGCCATCTCCAAGCCCTTGGCAAAATGGGCAGTGGTGTCATAGAAGTCCAGCAGCCTGGTGAGCTCCATCTCGGGCCCTGCCCTCTCCAGGGCGGAGTTAAGGCAGACGGGCAGGGAAGGCACCAAGCCCCCTAGGGTCTGGATCAGCAGCACTGTCACCACCTCGTGGGGGTTCTTGAAAACCTGCAGAAAGAGAGGAGCATGTGAGTTAACACAAGGTACCCAAGAGAAGCATGTCTTTTAAAAACCCAGTCTCAGTCACTGAGCTATCTGGATAAACTGACACAGAGGACTGTGATATGCTGTGTAAATATCCACCAAAAACACAAACAATTATCTTAAAACAAAAGCAGTGTCTCTTAGTTCATTCAGGAAATCTCCAGATATTAAAAAAGCTAACTCAAAGGTATATGACTATAAACCTTTAACTACAAACCCAAAGGTCTCCTCACTGCTAATATAAACACATACACAAAGGAAGACTGAGCACTTGTTCAATCAATTGGCTATTTCAATCAACTGGCTACACCCTGTCTACCACTGGTGGTCAAGTGAGTAAAGAACTGTGCTGCCAAACCAAAGACAAGCTGTTCAAATCCACTAGCTGCTCCAAGGGGAACAGATGGGCAATTTCCTTCCATGCAATTTACCACCCCTGAAAACCCACTGGAAGATCCGATGTGTCGGTTCCAAATTGACAGCACATAGCAACAACTAGTTTTGTGGCCTTGGGGAGTTATTTCACTTCTGTGGCCCAAACACTTCAGCTGCTACATGGGAGCAAGATGGGCCATCTCCTTCCATGCAGTTTACAGCCCTGAAAACCTGCTGGAGGATCAGCAAAGAGTCAGTTCCGAGTCGAGGGCAATGAACAAAAGCCACAATAACTGATCCAAAGTGCTCAGCTATTTTTAAGTCTGTCTTCCTGGTCTCCGAGGGTCACCACAAATCAGCTGAGCAGAGGGCTGGGAAGACAGAGGACAGTGCTGAATTTTAGGGGTGGGAGGTGGAGAATAAATTCAAGAGCAGTCAGAAGGGCCTTTAAACATTTTTTAGATTTCTCTGTGCCTATCTCAAAGAATTCTTCCCTGACACAGCTCTTCAGTCAAGACGGATATTTTATTATTTTGCCAAGATAACTTATTTGATCTTTTTGTTGTTGCTGTCAAAATTATACACAACCAAGTTTCTGCATGTACGCTTCAGTGACATGGATTGCATCCTTTGTACTATGCAACCCCTCTCACCTTCCTTTTCTGATCTGTTTCTCTCATTAACTCACTGCTCCCCTAAAGTTCCTATGTAATCTTTGACATGGTTCTTGTCAATATACTCCCTTACAAAGAGATTTCAAGAGAACATAATGTTCAAGATGGACACTCTTTAACTGCACAACTGAGCTACTGTTTGTTATCTCCTAAATGGTAATGATTTCTTTTTGAAAATACAGACACAGCAATGCATGCACCAATTCAAGTCTCTACACGTACAATTTAGTGATACTAATTATATTCTGAGGAGCTCTAATGGTCTTGTTTGTAAAATATTGGGGCTGCTAACAGAAAAGTCTGTAGTTTCAATCTACTTGTATCTCCAAGGGAAAAAAAGATGGACAGTCTCCTTCCATCAAGATTTATAGCCTCAGACACCTGAGGAGAGTTGTCATGCATCACAATTGTTAGAAAAGGAGTCGAGGGCGAAAGAGGGAAAAAACTGGTCCCAAGAAATGAACAGGCCTTTTATTGCATGGTCTGAGAGGGACGCCAAAGTGACCAGGGGCAGACAAAGTCAAAATGGCATACACACAATTGGGGGGGGGGTCTCCTTTTATAGGGGTCTTGGAGAGGGCTAGGAGAGATGGTACCTTTTAGAATTTGGGGCTGTTAATTAACTCATGTTGGGCTTTCTGATCAGGCCCAGATCCTTATCGTAATTTATTGTCTGGCCCGGTCTTTGTCCTGGCCACCCTTGAAACCATAAGGTTTCTCGGGAAGTGACTAGGAATGGGGGCAACTGCTATATTTTTCCTCCAACAATCAATTAGACAACATTTGATTTGGTTTGGTGTTTGGATTACATTCTCATCTATCTAATGTTTCAAATTGCTGCTGTTAACCTGATCCCATTGAGATAGTTCTTAAAAGTGCACAATAAGGGGAGCTCCGGTGGCCTAGTGGCAAGGAGCTGCAACTACAATCCCAGAGGCGCTTGGTTCCAATCTACCGGATGTTCTACTGGGGAAGGAGGGGCAGTCTCCTCCTGTACCAGTCAGATCTGATTTGCCGATACACTCACACAAAAATAATTTAAAAAAAATTTTTTTTTTTAAAATAAAGTGCACAATGTACAAAGTAGAGTATTTTGGTTTTGTTTTTAATTACGGGTGTTTTGGTTTGGGTTGTGGTTGTTTTTTTTTTAAGTTAAGTAGTATTACTGTTTGGCTTATAAGCAGACTTTGTGAGACCTTTTCTTGCTGGGTATCCACAATAAGGATCAATTCATTATCCCAATGACCACCTGCAGTGTAGCCGGTCTGTCCTCAGTCTAATTTCTCTAGATCACAGTCTTTAATCTGATCCAGCTGCCTCACCTCAGCATGTCCTGCAAGCATGTGGCGGCCTGTATCCTCAACGGCTTTGTGAACCATTCCAGGCAAACAGGGCACATCCCTGCAAGCAGGGGGCCGCCTGTATCCTCAATAGCTGTGTGAACCATTTCATGCAAAAAGGCACACTCCACAAGAGGAGTGACCAGTCTTGCCATTAAATTGAGCAGATTCAGGGGCAGAATGTGGGGGGTGGGTCTCACCACCAGAAGAAGAGGAAGCAGAGAACGGAGTTCATGTTCTCTGGAGTCAGAGATTCCTCCACCAGGGATCGTATCATGCTGTTAACAGAGAAGCTGTCTAGACTCGGGGATTGTATTTTGTTGCTAAATGAGAAGCTCTCTGCACAGAGGGACTGCATATTGCTGTTATCTTGGTATATAGCCTATTAGGGGTGTATCTGAGAAGTCCTTTGAACTGAGGCTCATAACTTGCTGTTAACTGATAAACTCTCTTGACTAAAGGATTGTATCTTGCTGTTAACCTGAACTATAACTTGTTAATTTCCCTAAGAAATCTCATAACCGTGAGTATGGTTCTAGGAAGTCTGTGTGGTTACTGCAACAGATTTCCAACCCAGGAGAACATGTCTGACTCAGGGAATTTGCTTTGGTGGATGCTCTTTACAGGGACAGTTCTCCCTTATGAAGGTCAGACTGGCTCTATTTATACCTTCCCAGACCTAATTTCCTTCAAATGTTGCTCTTGGTGGATCTTTACTCAACTGGTATGAAAATCTTTTTCTTTACAGCGATAGTGAAAAGTGAATGATGATACTGAAAATTGTTAAAGATTTTCTTTTACTTAGATACAAAAACTGCCTCGGAAGCAGTTGAAAAACCAAACCACATATTGCCCACAAATCTGGTGTGAAGAATCTCTTGAATGTGTTTAAGAGGAAGCAGGTCATTTTTGAGAATTGTGAGGTACCTAAGACTGCACCTAACACCAAAAACAAGACTAAGGTGTACCTGACCCATGCCAGGGTGTTTTCAGTCACTTTAAATGCATTTGTAAGTCAGACAATGAATAAGGTTGACAGAAAAAGAATCAAGCCTTTGAATTGTGATGTTGAGGTAGAGTACTGAATATCCCATAGACTCACTAAAGAACAGACAAGCACTGTCTAGGAGGAGGTCCAACCAAAGGGCTCCTTGGAGGTATGGATGGTGACACTTTGTCTCAGACACTCGGAACATGTTGTCAGGAAGGGCCCGTCCTTGGAAAAAGACATCATGCTGGAAAAAGTGGAAGGTCCGAAAAAAAGAGGAAGGTCTTCAATAAGACAGACTGACACAGTGCCTATAACAATGGGCTCAGCCATATCAGAGATCATGAGACTGGTGCAGGTCTCATGGTCTCTGACACTTTTGATCTCACTGCCACAGTCACTGTGTCAATTAATCTCATCCAGGGTCTTCCTCTCCTGCGCGGACCCTCTATCCTTCCAAGATATCCTTCTCCAAGGACTGGTACCTGGTGCTGACTGTGGAACGGGCCATCAACTACTCACATGCAAGTTCAAACTGAAACTAAAGAAAATGAAATCAAGTCCACAAGAACCAAAATATGACCTTAAGTCTATCCCACGTGAATTTAAAAACTATTTCAAGAACAGATTTGAAGCCTTGAACACTAATGAATGAAGACCAGATGAGTTGAGGGATGACATCAAGAGTATCATCCATGAAGAACGCAAAAGGTCATTATAAAAACAGCAGAAGAAGAAAAGACTGAGATGGATGTCAGAGGAGACTTTGAATATTGCACTAAAAGGCCAAGAAGCCAAAGAAAAGGGAAGAAATCAGGAAGCTAAAGAGCTGAATAATTTTAAAGGGCAGCTCATGAAGGCAAAGCAAAGTATTAAAATGAAATGTGCAAAGAGCTGAGGTCAGAAAACAAACTCACTTGGCACATCTTAAGCTGAAGAAATCGAATACATTCAAGACTCAAGGACAATACTTAAAGATGATATATAGGCAGAATATTGAATGATCTAGGAAGCATCAAAAGAAAATAAAAGGAATACACAGAATCACGCTAACAAAAAATATTGGCTGACAAAGAACAATTTCATGAAACAGCATATGGTCAAGAAGCAATGGTAATAAAGGAGGAAGTTCAAGCTTCTCTGAAGGAATTAGCTAAAAACAAGGTCCCAGGAATTGATGGAATACCAATACCAACTGACATATTTCAACAAAAAGACGCAGCCCTAGATGTACTCACCACGTTGTGCAAAGAAATGGCCAACTGACTGGAAGAGATCTATATTTATCCCCATTCCCAAAAGAAGGTGATCCAATACCGTGTGCTAATTATCAAATATTATCACTAACATCACATGCAAGCAAACTCTTGCTGATGATTATCCAAAAACTACTAGAACAATACTTTGACAGAGAACGGACAGAAACACAAGCTGGGTTTAGAAAAGGTCATGGCACTAGGAATATCACTGCCAAATCAGATTGATCTTGGCTGAAAGCAGAGTACCAGAGTACTATTTTTGTTTTACTGACTATGAAAAGGTATTTGATTGTGTGGATCACAACAAATTGTGGCTAACATTGAAAAC